TTTTTTGCTCGGTTATTTCTAAATTCTGATCCAAGTGTTGCAGCTACTGGGATGGGAGCATGTGTGTTCTTTCGAGTGATCATAATAAATTAGCTTCCAAAATAACATTATTTAGTTATCTGAAGACTATTAAAGCAGGTGAAATGTAATCAGCACAAGCTAGAAGGGCTGCCTTCCTAGGAAAAAGCTGTGTTTTGGTTAAAGTCATATCTATGACAGGACATGTTTACTAGCTTTTTATTTCAAGATCTACAATTAAGGGTGTAAGATTCCAGTTGTTGAAATGGAATATTATTAATTTAAGCTCAAATTAATAACATGTAGTCCCAGGATTATGTGCAACAAAATTATTTAACATAATAATAGTTATGAATTCTGATTTAGTTCTGTTTAAAAGAAAAATGTGTACTGCTTTTAATATTTAGTTACATTCATGCATATTCAGTAATATTATAAATAAATATTATATACATGGTGGTATCGTTCTGAATTTGAAAAGTTAACAGAAAAGATAGACTTCAGCATTATAGCCTCAGGTATTTAAGTTTATTGAATTTTCAAATTACCGTAGAGTCCAAATTGTACTATGAACTGAGAGACATTCCCCTAAATATTTTCTAGGTTCCCAACATAATCCTTTACCCAGTTGGGATCAGCACTTCTTGAAAGCGAGATGAGCTTCTTAAGGATCACCAGAAAAGGGTGCTCTTGACAGATAGTTTCCTGTCAAGAACTGACTATTGTCTCCCATAAAATGTTGCCATCATTGCTGTGGAAAGGAAACTAAAACATTGCAGATGAAACTGGATGAGCCTGTTCTCATAGTTGCCAAGAAGGAATAAAGGGAATCTGTCATATGTAAGCAAACCACAACTCTCTTATAGGCCATTTCTGGAACAGGAATATTTGACCTGATAGGTAAGGTAACCCTAAGATAATCGATCATCTCAGCTCCTTGTCACACCAGCTAATAAGTAAATTATCTGCTGTTTTCTGAATCGCTTTTCATGTATTTAACTCTCCTGGAAAAGTGGAAGTCATCCAAAGCTCCAGGTGGTTCAGAACAGAAATCTGCTCTTTTCTCACCCTTGCTCTGGGGAATTTCGAGTTAGTTTTTTTTTTTTTTTTTTGGCTTTCAGAGAATGGAGCATGAAACACAGACCAACTAGTCACAGAAAGTTCAGCACACAATTAATCCGGTTTCTTGAGTTGATTCATCAAGGCAGGTTGACCAATAGTTCAACTCTTAAGCAAGTAATTGTAATGTTGAGATTCAGGAAAACAATTACAGTAAAACCAGACAGGACAGACATGTTGTTTTCCATGACACGTATGTCACTTTCTAAAGATGGTGGCTAAAGGGGAATGACTTTTTTACTCATTCTTAGGTGCATATGGAGCTTAAGTTTATTACCTAGTTGTAAGAAATAGTGACATCACTAAGCACAATAAAAACCTTATTGTAAACCCCATAAATGGAGTTGAGAGTATTACTTAATTTGTTTCATGCTTTTACAACTATTATTCATGTTCTCTAATATTAATCTTTCATGGGCCCTCCTTACATGGAAAAAAAAAAAAACTTTTCTGGAGTACCAATGAGAATAAAACTGTTTGACACATAGCTAAAAATACTTTCAATTAGACACCTATGCCAATAAATAAATTAGTAATTATACAAGTTTCAGTGCTATTTTAAAAACTTGAAGTACAATTATGAGAGTGACCTGAGAGGGGGAAGGAGACTGTGTGATTCAGTAGTCAGGGAGAGCCCCAAGGAAGGCCATCTTTTTACAAGATCACCATGGCCTCCTGAGGAAAATGTGTTGTAGAATGACCAGTGTAGAAGAGACACCAGTTAGGAGGCTGTTCCGCTAGACCAGAGATGACAGTGGCACAGAACAGAGTGGAAAACAGTGGTCCCAAAGAGAAGTAGATAGAGCCAGGAGATATGTGAAGACAGGGCTGACAGGATTTGCTGACTAATTGGTTAAGGGATGGGGACAAAGGAAAGGAAGACTCAAAATGATCGTCAGGTTCGGTACTAAAGATACGGGGTAGATGGTGAAACCGTTTCCTAAGATGGGTACAGCTAGCTGAAAGACATGTTTGAAGAGAAAATGAAGAATTTGTTTCCAGCCCTTTGAGGTATCTTTAGGTATCCAAGGGGAAATGTCAAACTAGGCTCTTGGCTGTAAATATCTGGAGTGCTTGGAAGAAGTCACAGATGAATATAGAAAGTTGGGAATCAAGTGCCTATGGATGCTATTTAGAGCCACAGCCTCAAAGACATCTCTTAGAAAGATAGCAGAGAGAGAGAGAAACATAGAAACTTAAGGGCCAAGTTCTTGCTTATTCTAGCATCAAGGGATCTTGCATAGAAGCCAGTAAAAAGCCAGCGAAGTGAGAGGCAAACCAGAAGAACGTGTTGTCATGGAACCCAAGCCAGAAAATATTTCAAAAAAAAAAAAAAGAAAAAAAAGGGAAAGGTCAATTGTGTCAGATGTGGCTAGAATGCTGAGGACTGAGAAGTGACGATTGCGTGTGGCAATTTGGAATCACTGGCCCCTTTGATAGGAGTTGGAGTTCTTAAAAATAAAGAATTCAGATAAACTATCTTTCAAAAAATTTGGAAATAGCATTTTGTATTATCTCAAAAGAGATACCACTAGAGAAATTCATGAGACTACATAGAGGCTTTAATAAAATCAGCTTTTAAAAATGGATTATAGAATAGGTGACTAAAGGATACATAATTAGAAATACCTACAAAGTTGTTAAATCAGCTGTAAGCACAGTATGAGGAAGAGTAAAACCCAAAGTGGGATAAAGCTTGAAAAAAATGCTGAGGAGAGCCCAAGATTATTCTAGTGCTGTTTAGAGCAAAGCAGTGACTAAGAAAGTTAGTAGATGTGAGAGAAAGTGGAGTTTCTCAGTGTTTATTGCTTCTCTCTCGTTTTCCAATGAAAGGAAATACTGTTCAAAAACAGGAAGGATATGACAATACTAAAAGAAAATTAACATAAAAGCAAGATAAGATGTTATTGTGACTGTAAGTAACTTCTTTAAATGGGAAAGAACGACAGTGGGAGCAGTCAAGACCACCTGTCTACAGAAGTAGCGTTTTAGTTGAGACCTGAAGGATGTCTCGGTGCCAGTCAGGTGCACAGTTGAGAGAGAACAGTTCAGACAGAGCAAAAGCATCTGCCGAGTTCCTGACTTAGGACAGTGTTTGGTGCATTTAATGATCGTACAGAAGAGTTCAGAGCATGGAAGGCAGGTGGTAGAGAGGGCCACAAGGCGAGACTAGAGAGACCACTTGTGGAGTCACTGCAGGGACTGGATCAGGCCGAAGAAGACCAAGAAGTGCAGCATTCCAAGAGTTATTTGTTGCAGAGAAGGCTGATACTGGAAAGTTAGACCAAATGACCTTTGAGCTCTCTTCCAAAATTGTAATCCTTCAAATACAAGAACATAACGCATTTGATGTTAGATAGATATTCTGGATCACAAATTAAGAGATAATAGAAAATGTAGTTAATACAGTTGTAAATAAATAACATAACAGAACAAAGTAAATAAGTTGTCACTACCATATAAACCAAATGTCTAATATCCAGAAATGCAGAACAAAACTCTTTTTTAGTAGGTAAAACTATATTCAAGGATATCAAGAGTCACCCACATAATTTTGGGAACAATTTCAGAGAAGGCAGACTAGATGTCATAAATTAGCGAGATTTACAACGAACATTGAGAAGTCCATCAATAATATAAAATACTGCTAGTGCTGAGTAATATAGCTATGAATATGGCATTCAGTCTTCATAAAACTTAATTTTCTCCTGTGTGGAAAAAAGAAAAAGACTGATTATTTTAATATCCCTATTGTCTAGCTGTATATCTGGGTAACTTACAATCTTTGCTTTATGTTTAGTTTCTTTCTTCCTCTTTTTTTTGTACTTTTCCTCTCTTCTTTCCATTTATGTACCTGTTTACCCATTTAGATAGGTAGATATCCATAGATATTTATGTATGTATGTATATGTAGATATATATGTACATATATGCACACACTCAAAGAGAGAAAAAAGAGAAAGAAATATATAGACTCTATAAAAGAGAAAAATTTCATTTTAAAAAGCTTAGGAAAAAAGTCCAAGATTTTATTTTAATCTTTCTGTGGCATGCACATTTATTTTTAATTATAGTGATCTTGGGATCGACCCAATGTGTTTCTTTGTTGCTTCTTTCTTTAACTTGCTCAGAAAAATGAAACTCTGTATTAAATATGACCTGAAAAAAATACCAGAATGAAAATAATTAGAAAAAGCAGAATTGCTTTGTATTCTATTTGTCCAATCTAACTTAGGCAAGGATTTTAGAGCCTCAGAAGTTTGTTAAAAGAATTATTCAGTTCTCGTTGTCTTGTATTCAAAATATACTCTTCTCATAAACAAATGTACTGTTCATAAATGTTTCTGGCCATGTCAAATGTTTAAAATATAGAACAAAAT